GCGTGCCTCAGGGGACACATGTTCGTTACAATGCTTACCCCAAGATCCTTTTCTTTAATTGACGTTTGCAGCTGTTGGTTTCCTAACCTGTACTCCGTCTGCAGTCTTCTGTTTCCTTTCCCAATCTTAACTTACTGGGATTAAACTCCAGGAGCCATTTGTCGGACCATACTTGTAGTTTGTCCAGTTCCCCTTGTAATCTTAACTGATCCTCGCCCACTTGTATTCTCTCATCAGTTTCACATCATCAGCGAACAGTGACACTTCTGAATCTATTCCTTCCACCATGTCATTCACGTATACAAGAAACAGCACCGGGCCTAGGGCTGAACCTTGTGGAACCCAACTCGACACATTCGCCCACTCCGACACTTCAGCACGTACCAACGCTCGTTGTTTCCTTCCTGTCAGGTATTCCCTGATCCATCGCAGTACTTTCCCCATTATTCCTGCCTGCTCCTCTAATTTTTGCACCAGTCTCTTGTGTGGTAATGTGTCAAAAGCTTAATTGCAGTCTAAAAAGATGCAATCTACTCATCCCTCTCTCTCCTGTCTTACTTCTGTTACCTTTTCGTAGAACTCAAGTAGATTTGTGCCACAGGATTTCCCATCTCTGAAGCCGTGCTGACTGTCATGTATGAGCCCAATCTTTTCAATGTGTTCCACCACTTTTCTCCTGATAATCTTTTCCATGACTTTACATACTATATACGTCAGTGACACTGGTCTGTAGTTTAATGCTGCCTGTCTGTCCCCTTTCTTAAAAATTGGAACTACATGTGCTGTCTTCCACACCTCAGGCAACTGCCCTGTTTCGATAGATTTGCTGAAGATTGCTGCTAAGGGCACACACAGTTCCTCTATTCCCTCTCTCATTATCCATGGAGATATGTTATCTGACCCACTGCCTTTGAAGTATCGAGTTCGCCTAGCAGTTTCTTCACCTCTACCTTGGTTATGTGTGCTTTGTCCAGCACCTGCTGGTGCACCCTACCTCCACAGTTTGCTGGAAGCATTCCTGGCTCTATTGTGAGTACTTCTCTAAATCTTTTGTTTAGTTCATCACATACTGCTTGGTCACTCTTTGTGAGCTCCCCTCCTTCTTTCCTCAGCCTGATTACCTGGTCCTTGACTGTTGTTTTTCTCCTAATGTGACTGTATAACAACTTTGGTTCAGATTTGGCTTTTGATGCTATCTCCTTATCCCTGCATATTCGTTTCTGGTTCTGTTGCTCAGCTCCTTTTTTCGTGAGTCCTTTGCCTTCTATACCTTTTCCATGCTCTAGCACACTTGGCTTTGGCCTCTTTACACCTCCAATTAAACCATGAACTCACTCTGGTCTTACCATTTTTTTTCTGTTGTGCTTTGGTATGAACCTTTCCTCTGCCTCCCTGCACTTAGTGGTCACTATTTCCATCATTTCATTTACTGTCTTCCCATCTAATTCTCTTTCCCACTGCACTTCACGCAGGAAACTTCTCAATCCTATGCAGACCCCTTTTTTGAAGCTCGGTTTCTCTCTTTGTTCTCGTGCTGCTGCATTCTCCACTGTTAACTCTATAAGATATTCAAAACTCAGGACATCATGATCACTAGTGCCAAGGGGTCTTTCGTGGGTGATATCCCCTATGTCTGAACTATTCAAGGTGAATATGAGATCCAGCCTTGCTGCAACATCCTCTTCTCTCTCTCTGGTTGTATCCCTAACATGTTGATGCATGAAGTTCTCCAATACAGTACTCACCTAGATGTACTCACCTAGTTGAGGTTGCAGGGGTCGAGTCCTAGCTCCTGGCCCCTCCTCTTCACTGGTCGCTATAGTGTGTGTGTGTGTGTGTGTGTGTGTGTATGCTGAACGCCTTATTAAATGCAGTATTTGCTCAATATATCTCAAGTACATATATGAACCCACAAAGGAAGAAATGTTTTATCACATTAAATTCTTTATTTGTGTTTAGTTTATAATGTTATTATCAGCTGTGGACACCTCCGCTAATCCACTAACCGCTAATTAGTGGAACTAACTGTTTGTTTAGCAGATAACGCGTTTCTGCTAACTTTGGAAGCCATTAGCGGACCAATTAGCTTCCACTAAATAAAGTTCCACTAACTTTGAGTCCGCAAATAAAAAAAACATACGTTGTTGGTAGTAGGAAAGCAATGCCTTTTAAACAGCGCACGTGTTTATTCCTGTCTGTTGTGTGCGTTTCTCCAAAGTCAGTCAGGCACACTATTGACTGACTACGTGTAAACGTGACTTGTCAATGCAGCAGCAGCAGCATCTGAGCAACATTGTTATAATCTTACAGTATCAGCGATCACCGGGATGCGTTGTCACCTATCTTTATGAACAGGGGAGATGTTTCTGTTCCACCTGAGGGTGTTGTTGAGGAGTCTGCAGCGGCTGTGGTTGAAGCAGAGGCCGCTCAGGCTGAAGGCCAGGAATCGCAGAACCCGTGGCTCCACCTGGATGACTATTTTGTCCTCAAGTCAAGTGATACGAAGAACGCCAATATTTTGTACTTCCTGTGCGCTTATTAAACTACTATTACAGTTTTTTTTTATATTTTCTTAATTTACGTGGGTAATGCAAGTTAGGACAGTATAGAAGTACAATATATTTCCCAGTGTTGAAAATTAACCAAGTAAAACTTCCTGAATACTGTACTTGAGTTACTTTTCTCAGTGTTTACTTTTCAAAAATTACTGATGATGTAAGGAGCAAGTTCGTATCGTTATCGGATTGTAATGAAGTGAAAGTAATAACAGACTTCAGAAGTTAAGTAAAAGTAGTGAACAATTTCAGTACTTTTTAAAAAGTAAATACCAAAAAAAGTTACTTAAGTAGAGTACTCAAGTAGTTTTACTTAGTTACTTTACAACACTGGTACTTATACTCGAGTATTAAAGTTGAGTACTGTTTGTAACACTGTTCTTATGACCTTGGTATTCTATATCTTTAAGAAGCTCTCCAGGTCTGTTCTAAAAATCTTAAAAGTAAAAGTAAAAGACTAAAATTCTAAACCGAAACTGAATTCATGTGAAAAAGTTAGCGATTAGCGTTAGCTTCCGCTAATTTTTTCAGCCGTTTAGCAGTTTAGCGTTAGCGGAGTTAATTTTATAGTTAGCGGAATAGCGGTTAGAGAAGCTAACTTTTCGGTTAGCTGTGCTCACCACTGGTTATTATTTATAATAAAAATAAATGAAAAGCAAGTGTATGGAAAATACTTTCTCTTATTATTAACACTTTTCTACAGTGAGGCATTTTAGTCTAATAACGTTAAGAATGATAAGACAATGAGGCGTGTTTACATTATCATCTCATCAAAGTCAAAACTGAGTTATTAATTATGCAAATTTTGTGATTATTCGAGTAATTACATGCACTACAAGATAACTGTGTTATACATCAAGGCAGAATAAGGCGGGAGTAAAAGTGCAACTCTGCCTACTGTACATCTGGGGTACCCTGATTCTCATAAATTATCGTGTGTCAGTTTCTGGTAGAAATTAACACACGACAATTTCTACACACTTATATTTCATTAAAATTTTAATATTTGTTATTCTTGGTGAAATTAGGGTTTAGTTGATTAATATATATTAATCTATATTTCCAAATAATTACTTGACAATAAAATAGTTGAAAACGTCACTTAAAAATCTGCATTATCACACTTTTATGAAAAATGACTAAATTTTTGGAAACCTGGGTCTAGAGGCCAGACCCAGGCCCTGATGTTATTAGTGATGCCATCATTGATGCTATTAGTGATGCCATCATTGATGTTATTAGTGATACCATCATTGATGCTATTAGTGATGCCATCATTGATGCTATTAGTGATGTCATCGTTGATGTCATCATTGATGCTATTAGTGATGCCATCATTGATGCTATTAGTGATGTCATCGTTGATGTCATCATTGATCCTATTAGTGATGCCATCATTGATCCTATTAGTGATGCCATCATTGATGCTATTAGTGATGCCATCATTGATGCTATTAGTGATGCCATCATTGATGCTATTAATGATGCCATATTTGATGCTATTAGTGATGCCATCATTGATACTATTATTGATGCATTGATGCTATTAGTGATGCCATCATTGATGCTATTAGTGATGCCATCATTGATGCTATTAGTGATGCCATCATTGATACTATTAGTGATGCCATCATTAATGTCATCATTGATGTCATTGCTCTGAATATTTTCTAGAATCACTCACTGGAAGAAGTGCGCGCATATTAACTAGACAATAGTTTTGATTATTTAAACATTTTCCATTTAACTTCGAATATGATTTTACTAATGTTTTATTTAGCACTAAAATATTACTAACTCTCAAGTACAGTTTTCCAGATGATGACCAAAGAGCAATAACAACTATCCAAAGCCATAGAACTCTTAGCCATTACAGTTGATCAATATACATAAATGTAGTGATAAATTTTGAGACATTAAAATAAAGTTCACAAATTGGGAACACAAAGGAACAAAAAAAAACATGAACAATTTCAGTAGTATATCCAACTTGAATTGTTTAGTGTTTTTTCATAATACGAGGAAATATTAAAATCTGTATCTCCATTTATATTTTTCTTTGCAAAGATTGACAAGGAATCGTTTGCTGCATACAATGTAAGTCTGCTTGTGCAAGTCCATACTGTTTGTGAGCTTAAAATAAAACTAACATAAGAGTTAATTAGCATAAGACTAGAAGAACATGTACGAGGCTACATTTTAACTAGAATGTTGTGGTTCATTTTTCTTATACTACTCTCTAGAAGCATAATTACTTACCACAGGACAGAAATTTATTGTTTAGAAGATAAATGATGTAGTTACCCATGCATGCTTGTAAAAATTTTATCATTATTGCAAACCACTTAAAAACGAAGTTGAGCGATGAAAGTACTAAGAAGGGAAAAAACTACAGTGAGAATTAAAAAGAGAGAGCATGCGTGACCCAGGCATATCTATGCTCACTTGTTTGGCGTGCGGGGAGGTGTGTATGGTGGCGCGGAGGGCTTGGCCAGCCGCGGGGTTGGTATGTGGAGGTGGGCGTGGAGGGGGGCGTGGTGGGGGCAGCACAGGAGGGGCGCTCACTCTGTTGCTAAGATGTGCTAGGCTGGAGCTCTCCTTGGCTGCCTCCCGCGCCTGCCTGGTGGTGTGAGGGGGGGGAGGGAAGTGACTCTCAACTCCTCAAACACACGCAAACCAATTGCAACAAACAGATTTAAAAAAAAATCACAAACTCACAGCAACACAAGTTTAAAAATATGTGGTTTATAAACTCATTACAACACAAGTTACAAAATTATAATTCACAAATGCACTGCAACATACTCAAAAAAGACTGTTTCTCAAACTCATTGCAACACACGTCTTAAAAAAATGTGGCTCAGAAACTTCCTCCAACGAATATATATATATATATATATATATATATATATATATATATATATATATTATATATATATATATATATATATATATATATATATATATATATATATATATACATACATATATATATATATATATATATATATATATATATATATATATATATATATATATATATTATATATATATATATATATATATATATATATAATTATATATATATATATATATATATATATATATATATATATATATATATTATTAAATATGGTTACATTAATGTGTTTGTCCTCCCAAACAGTGAACCAATAAACTTGATAAACTTGTAATGTTTTGAAAATGAAATAGATTTTTAACCTAGACTATAGAGAGGTATTTGTATTTTCTCACTCACTGTCTTCTCTTGACTTACCATGAAAAACACGGACCTGTAGCAACTGTTATTATACTTCAGACTTCAACAGTATCATCACAATTTGTTATAAAAATATACATTCCTTTCGCAATCTGGTTTAAGAAAAAATATATGATTTTCTAATGTTAGGGATAGTTTTTCAAGTGCTCACTTTAAACCAATAATTAATTTGAAGCATTTATGAACAGAACCTGTTGATTTCTAATTTTAAAATATCTGTTAACGAAAATATTAGCCTAACACACACACACACACACACACACACACACACACACACACACACACACACACACACACACACACACACACACACACACACACACACACACACACACACACACACACACACACACACACTGATTTCTGTACTGGACCCGTAAAATATATGTTAATAGGATCAGTTATTTGTACTTTGTGTACAATTATAATTTATTATAATTATTTATTAATTTAAAGTGTAAATGCTTCCTAATTAAACTATTATATATTGTGATTTGGAACGCCCCTGTGAGCCTGTGTAAATCCTGAGGATAATATCAACAGCAGCCTCGTCATTATTATAGTTTAACTGTAGTATAGCCTTCTTCCCACTTTACAAACTGTTGCATGCCGGTGCTTGTTTGGAAGCAAGTGCTCTCAATATTAAAATTATTTTAATTCTTGAGGCACGAGTGATTTTGGTGGAACAGGTGTTAGGATGGGCAGGCGAGTAGAATGAGCGGATGCAACTGGAGTTTTCAGAAAAGTTTGCTGACATGACAGTACATGTGGAAGTTCACTGACAACTTCGTCAAGCTGCTTCACTTGCAGAGGCTTCTCTACAAATACGTATTGGCCAATTCCAGCATTTACTGTACAGCTGAAACTTCATTTTATTTTTTTAATAATAACAGACATTTCACTAGTATATGGTAGTTACACTGGAACTTTTAGATCACCCTGAAAATCTTTCCCATGGAATGAAAATTGTAGTTATGTAATAAACTCGCGTGTCATAATAAGTATATTTTTGAGAATAAGGAAAGAATATCAAATACAAAATTATGTTGGCCTAAGACGTCAATCTAAATATTGATATTTTGCAATAACGTGACTTATATGATTTTTTCCCTTTTCAGCCATAATGGTTGTCCATCACTGTGAACTTGTGTTGACAAGCGCATGCGATAACTCAAAGAATCTCAAGCGTGTGATAAATCATGCTCTAGAAAATTCAAAACACTGTGTTTAACACAGTTATGTGAAATTAGTCATCTTCAGGGTGAATGTCGTGAAAGATATCCTACAGAACCTTCCGCTAGGAGGGTTAAAGAACAATGTACCTCTTTCCACTGGCCTAGTCCACGAGGCTGTCAAATGTGAAACTGCATCGCTTCTGACTGCATACTTCATTATTTATATCATTACTTGGTGAATAATATTTTTCCCTACACTGGACAAGAACTCATGGCCTACAAAGGACTTGACGCATACCCGCATTTTCTTTCAGGATGATTAGCAAGACTGCATCATTGGCAATTTCTTCGCTGTAGGTCGCCATCTCACTATGGCTAAGGTAAATAAACATGACATTACAAATAGTTTTAAATATTTATGTCCATACATAGTAACAGGTCAATTTACACACTCCCACACTCATTTATGTATAAATGTATGTGTATATATGCAAGCCAAGCCACGTGGGGTGGAAATCTTTAGCTCAAGTACTTTCACAGTGCTTCAACAGGAGCCGTGCAATGTTGCAAAGGTAGCAACAGGAGAAATGAGGGGAAGTTTTTTCAGAGTATGGTAAAGTGACACCCGATCGCGCCTCTCTCAGATTGCGAAAGGCACGGCCGAGTGCCAACCCACACACAAGCCCCAACCACCACCACATCCTACTCCATATGGGGTACGAAGGGCTAGGTCTCCAAGTTTGCAGAAAGCAGGAGGAAAGAAAACCAGGAGATTTAATAATCAGCCCTAAGCTTCTAATCGCTGAGAACAAGTCATGTGTCATAAGAGATTACGTTACAATAGTGGATAATACACATACCGAATGCAGCTATTATGTGTAACCTTCTAATTAATAAATGGAAGGAATGAATGAGGTAATTCATAATGATTTAGTGTGTCTGAGGTAACTCATAATGATTTAGTGTGTCTGAGGTAACTCATAATGATTCAGTGTGGCTGAGGTAACTCATAATGATTCAGTGTGGCTGAGGTAACTCAATTGCACCTCATATTGTAAATTGTTTACTGTAATTTTAAACACTGAACCTTTCATTGCTTGTTAATTTTAAATTAATTTTTAAGCCTGCCCATAATGCTCTGCATACAAGGGGCTTTTGGCATGTTCACTCAACTACTATAATTCATTGTACAACTATGTATCATGTCCAAATAAACTATATGAATATGAATATGAATGTGCTCATTTGTTAGCTGATAATACCCCATGTTCTGGGGGAATTCTAAAATATTCAGGATTATTATTATTAAAGATTCGCCGGTATTCTCCCGGCCCGGGCCTTGTCCAAGTGGTGGCCCGGCCTTGGCTCCCTCTTTAGGGAGTGTTTGAGGCCTAAGTCTCCCATGGGAGGAGGCACAAGTACCTCCTCATCTTTGGGACCAACTGTCCCCAGGCCTAGCCACAAGCTAGGCCTCTCTGGTCTGCCATCCCCGCCCCAAGGGGGCAAATGGGAATGACAGTCTTATGAGCTAAAGGCTCGGGCTCAGGCACCTACCCTACCCTAGAAGGGTTAGGCATGGTGTCGATGAAAAAAAAAAAATATTCAGGAAATACTCGGGAGGACCTCAGCACATATTCTGCCTACCACTATTCTCTGTGTCGTTAAATATGCTTGTATTATTTATGGATCTCTCTAATAACCCGATTATTCTTTACGATAATAACTAGACAATTCCTGAATTTTTCTTTTAACACCAATAACAGTCTAATTCTGTAAACCACTAAACTACTTGCTGTCACCATGTTATAATCAATCATGTGTACCTTAGTACCGCTGTATCTAGATGATATGTATCATTAAATTCTTCCCAAATTTTATTAATTATAAATGAATCCAATTTATATAAAATAAAAGAAATATTCATGTCATTGTCAAAACTGCTTTTTTATGAATCATGATTCTATTATATTCCTGTCGACCATGGACTTGCTTGATACAACTTTCTCAGCCACTGTCATGCCGAGGTATGATAGTGGCTTTCTTTGATCCAGTCATGTTATGACATGTAAACACACATTGTAACCTTAGCAAAGAAATAAATATTTTATTTATATAACTGGATGGTTAAAATCTCTCTCATGAATGAACAGAGTATTAGAATCATGTCCACTTCTAATGATATATTTAAGTTGTTTTGACCTTACTTCAAGACTTTTACCAGTTTGACTGTAATAAACTTTATTACATATTGTACAAGGAATCTTATAGACACATCCGTCAGCATTTTGGGGAGAAATATTTATAAAAAAAATTTAACTGTTTCAAGATTTTTAAATACAACTTTAATATTAAAATTCTTAAGAAGAAAATGCATAATAACTAAGTTTTCAAGGTAAGGGAGACCCAACAAATTTTTAGTTGAATAAGGCTGGTTGTTCCTTTTGGAATTGTAAAAGGTATTTCTATTTAAAAGGATTTATCAATTAAGTTTCTTTGGTATTTTAGGTCATCAGCTATTTCATAAATTTTGGAGATTTCTTCGTCTATGAATTCTGTACTACAGATACGCAAAGTTCTCAAAAACATTGATGAGAAAACCGACAGTTTAACTCTATCTTGATCTGAAGAATAATAGTGTACACAGGAACCGTTATTTGTTGGTTTTCTATAAATTTTATATTTAAAATCATTGTTACCCTTAATAGTTAAAACACCTAGGAAAGGCAATGAGTTATTTTCTTCGAACTCTATAGTAAAATTTGAAGAATGAACTATTTAATTTAACAAGGAAATGGTTTATATCTACATTCTTAGGCACATGACAAAATATGATCAACATACCTATACCATTAAACACAAATTTTGCATCAACAATACAAAGTTTAATAAGTTTAATGATAATAGGAAATGGTAATCGTAAATCATAATTAACAAGTTCTTCAGATGTTTGGTATGGCAATGGGAAATCCTCTCTCACCTGTTCATGGTAATTTATACAGTTGTATAGATATGTTGATGATATTTTGTAAATAATTTTGCCTGTTTGCGAATTGTTAAGCATATATATATATATATATATATATATATATATATATAATATATATATATATATATATATATATATATATATATATATATATATATATATATAAAATATATATATAC